GCAGGAATTGATGATCTTCTGGCCGTGGAGGTCTACCCGCTAGAAACTTATTTGTTAGCAAATAATGCTTTATTTGTTCTCACACACTCAACGGTTGTCTCTTTCTTGAAGCATTTTCTATTTTTTCTGCCTTTTTAAGGTATAAATTGTTTATTTTTATGTTCCTTCCTTTATTTTTTCTTTTCCGTTTCTCTATCTCTATCTCTGTATCTCGCTTGCTACATCTTTAAAAGTTTATGCATAATTTCATTTATGTACTTTCTGTAGCCAGAGCGATAAAGTTCACACCTAAAGTCATCAACAAGAGGCTAAAAAAAAACGAATGAAAATCTTTTTTATGTGTGTGAGTGAGTGTGCACACAATATGCTACCTTTGGCTATGCTATAGGTGGTTTCACCAGCTTTACGCCAACTGAGGACCAAAGAGCAAGATATGACGGCATTCGCCAGCCTGGCTCCGTAAAGGCTCAACTATTAAAATTCTTTGTAGTTTGAGAGCTTGTCAAACTGCCACGAATGGCAGTTTGACAATGGCAGCTTGCCACGAATGGCAGCTTGCCACGAATGGACGTTTAGGACGCCGTAGGACCCGCATACGCAACGAACGTGAAGCGCGTCGCACTATCTGGTAAATCAACATAGAAGTACGTATTGTTGAAGGCCAATGTGAGCCAGCGCAAATGAGCTAGCCGGATAATGGCCTTAATTTTAGCCGCAGTAGTACGCTACTGTAGCCGTAGTCACTCAAAACGGGCGCAATTTTGTGAAAGCAAGTCTCGTGCTGTCGCGAACGTGTTCGAGAGCAGCGCGATCACCTCATACATACGCACGCACGCATCACATGCGTGCGTATAAAGCGGCCGATACGTAACGCGATACGTGTGCGGTGCAGTATATGCATGCGCACTGCGCAAAACGTGGCGTCCTTACGCACGCGGTGCCACCACGTGGGATACGCACACAGTACTAAAACTCTCTAATATTGCAATTTGAATCTGTACGTAAAAGCAATGACCATTTTCACAAGTTGTGGTCGACATTTTGGCTGCCTAATAAGATCACGCTAAAGATCGCTTACTACAACACTGTACTCGTCGGCGTCTTTGGGAGAGTGAATCTTGGTGCATTGCGAAGGCAGCCCTTCACAGGAATAAAATTGTCAGTGAAAAGCTTTGCCTGCGCAACAGACGCGTTTGTGTGCATTACGCTGGTGACTGTGCAGTAAGTGCGTTCTGGACCAAGTATTAATTGCGTTCCAGACGATTAAATTCCCCAACGTTAGACGCCCACTGATGACTGGTCATGGAGAAGATTTCCGCTGCCCATTGATGCTCTCACGCCCCATTAAATTCGCCGCGTATCTGGGTGCTTTGCTGGCAGACGTCTTCAAAAGACGGCAAGCTTCCATGTAGAAAGAGATGAGAGAATAAAACGTTTACTTGATGTTTTTAGCGAGAAGATCAGCAAGTATAGAAAGAAAAAAAAAGTGACATCTTTACCGGAAAGACAAAGCAATGAATGTGACAGCAACCAATTGGAACGCCACGGGAAGATTAGCAAACAGATTGAAACGTGCCCCGCGTTGCTCACGCACAAATGACACACAAAATATACGCACAGGCACAGATGAACGTGAAGAGGTGTACTTCACAAGAGTTGACTGTTAGGCGTGTTGGTGCTTTGACCTAGAAGCATTCGTGAAGGCTCAACTAATGCATGCCCTATTCGCAAACGGATGCTGTGCAGCGAGTGCAGTAACCTTTGGCACCCAGTGCACCCAATGTAAAAACTGAAGGTGTACAATTCTCTCAGCCGCGACATAAGCGTGCGCACGCAGGAGCGTCCATTCACCTGTCCCCCCCCCCCCACCCTTTTCCGCGGAGCAAGTAGGCGTTGGAGAGGAACGCATGAGCGCCAACTCATTCGTAACTCTGAAAATACGATAGTTCTTCCGAAATAGTCATCACCAGCGCTATGTGGTAGATATAGATTGTTGGTTAAACGACCAAGGCTGTGCTTCTTCGTGGCTCCGCCTGCCGTAGTCTCTTTCTGGATACTTTTTCTTTTCTTCGTTTTCACACATGTAAATAGGTATACATATACGCTGAATGACGGCAGTCACCGATTCCTGCGGCGAAATCTAGCCGAGAGTATCCATATAATTGCTATCGCAATAAAACGGAGATTTGACATTCTGCACCAAAGTGATCGGTGAGTGGGACCCTTGATCCAGGATCGCATTGGCGTGGGCGGCTGTGAATAGGTGCTACGTTAATGACCCTATACTTCGTAAAAGTTGCGCCATCTGCTGTCCCCCTCGCCACGGCCTCTCCAGTACGTTGCTTTTTTAGGGGCGAAGCTCCTTATCGCGCGGCTTGTGCGTCCCTCGTAGTACGTAACCACCGGTGGCACATACCCGAAATAGCGGTCTTTACAATTTTGACCTCCAAGGTGGTTGCAGTGAGAGATTTCTTCTGTGCGTTGTTGAACAATAAAAGATAGTGCTCAATGCACATGTTAATGGCTCCTAAGGGGGAATGAGAGACAGGAGCATTCGGCCTTTAGGTAACGCGCACGCTGCAATCCCCATTAGCAGCTATTGGCATGTACATTGAGCACGACCTGACAAGAAAGGGTTGCTACGTTATACTCGCTCGGTGTAACCTCCTTGGTTTTAGAAAGGTTTAGCGAGCGTTGGGCCGCATAGCCATGAATACAGTGAACTAGTATATACCATGAACTCGAGGTGGTTAAAGGTGGGAAGTAAACCCGAAGCGCAAGCCGTAAGAAAGTGTGCATGTGCCACCTCCCGTTTAGTCCTTGAAATGTCCGCTGGATGGCGGTGCTTCTATGTGGAGAATATATGATGAAAAGATGCGAGATGGTGGTACTTGGAGTGCTGAATAGATGGACGAAAGGACACACAGACAGATGCATGGATGGACACATGAACGAACGCAGGCGCGGATGCATGGACGAACGCAGGGGCGGACGCACGAACAGACGCACGCACGGACGGGTGGAAGGACGCATGGACGGTTACACAGACGTTCGCAGGAACGGACGGAAGCAAGAACGAATGGACGGACGAATGCTTCGCCCCACTCTCCATCATTCACTCCGTGGATATGCTGCCATTTTTTTCTTCCGCTTGTGACTGTGGTCCCCCCTGGAACACGCCACGAGCTTGCTCCGGCGGGAAGAGGCGGAAGCGGCGCAGATTAAAGAACACTGTACGTTTCTTTTGTAATTTACCGTGATCTGCCCTCTCCTCTCAACCTCTTTTCCGGCGCGTTGCTTTATTTCTTTCGCTTGCGACAGTGCCACCTTCCCCTGTAACGCGCCACGAGCTCGCTCTGGCGAGGAGAGGAGGAAGTGGCGCAGATAAGAAGAACGCTGTACTTTTCCTTTGTAAATGTATCGCAATCTGCTCTTCCCTCGCAACCTCCTCTCCGGCGCTTTGCTTTTTTTCTTTCGCTTTCGACAGTGGCGCCCCCTGTAACGCGCCACGAGCTTGTTCTAGCAGGGAGAGGTGGAAGCGGCACAGATAAATCAACGCCGTACTTTTCTTTTGAAAAAGTACTGCGATTTGCTCTCTCCCTCACCACCTCCTCTCTGGTGCGTTGCTTTCTTTCTTTCGCTTGCGACAGTGCCCCCCTCACCCCTGTAACGCGCCCTTAGCTTGCTCCGGCAAGGAGAGGAGGAAGTGGCGCAGATAAAAATAACGTTGTACCTTTCCTTTGCAACAGTACCGCGATCTGCTCTCCCGCTCGCCGCCTCCTCTACGGCGCGTTGCTTTTTTTTCTTTCGCTTGTGACAGTGTTGCCCCCTGTAACGCTCCACGAGCTCTCCAGCGGGGAGAGGAGGAAGCGGCGCAGATAAAAAGAACGCGGCACTTTTCCGAAGGTACAAAAACCTTATGGTACATGAGACATCGACGCCATCTGGTGGTAATTCGATGAAACTAAACTTGTTTTCTGCAACACTCAGCCACTGGTAGGTGGTAGCGCTTTGTCACTTTAGTGTTGCGCAATAAACACCCGCTTGTCGTTCGTAGCGTCGTGTTGTCAGCGCAGCGTATTAAGCACTGTGGCATTTAGAACTACGTATCAATGCATTTCAGAAATCAAGAAACAGACTGCTTATGACTTGCTTACTGATGTTTACCTCAAATATGCCAAATACTTGCTTTTTCTTTGGCAATGTTCGAAAGTATGAACGCAGCAAACAGATCAAGATGGCTGGGCATTGAGAATGCGCCTAAACGTTCACCGGGTCGCTGAATCGTGTGACAAGCACACCAACAGAAAAACAGACAGATCAAAACATCTGCTTGCAAGTGTGCCAATATATACATTAAAAATTCAATCATTATTGCATAATACTCACTTCTGCGTGCGGTCTTGAACCACTGGCAGGTAAGGATTATAATTGTATTTGTACTACAACAAAACTATCATTTCGCGTATTGTTTCATCTGCTGTTGCATTTATGAGAATATCAGGGCTTGACAATTTTTGTATCAAGCTATACATAACCTCTTTCTGTGGCGCTATTTCAAAAATTTCTTCACAGCCCTTCGATATTTGTGCGAATACATGCATGTAAGATGTAAATGTGACATCGAAACTAAAATTGAACGCAGATAGAATACTCGGCGTAGTAACACATGTGTAGAAACTCCAGGTGGTCGAAATTCCCGGAGCCCTCCACTACGGCGTCTCTCATACTCTTATGGTGGTTTTGAAACGTTAAACACCAGATATCAATCAATCAATGTGAAGAAACTCTGCCCACGTTGCTTTGCCTGTACCCTCTCCAAACGTTGTCGCAAATTGTACGCGATCTTAGAAATATTTGCTCTGTGGTGTTGTATTTGGCAATGCACTTTTTTGTTGGTGCCAGTATGCCCTATGACATAAGGTAAATAAAAAGAAAAGTCTGCGTTTTCTGCATGAAGGCCAGGAGTGGCTGATGTGTAGTACCGTGAGTCTAGCGCGTTAAGGCAGGTGGTCAGCCGGCATGGCAGTGGAGGACTCGTAGGGGGCGATTACGAGCCTGGTGAAGGCCAGGACATGTCCACAGTAGTTATTTGATATTTGCTTCCGTGGCTGGGGCAACGAAAAATCACGGTGAGCTTACACTAAATATGCCATTTCATCTATTGTAACAACTGCTGCAAGCAAACTGTACATTGGCATGATATTTCAACTGGTTTCAGTGTGCTACTTTGTTCTTTTTTTTCTTTTTTGGGGACCGTTCAGAATTATTTTTTTTCGCTGCTGAACTTATTGATATGGACTAGCAGAGGCAATATGGCCCTACACCTTTCCACGGCAAAATAGTTGGAACAGAACAGAACAGAAACGTCCCGAAAATGTCGCTTATTCGCCATAAAACGGAATTGTGTTAGGGCTGTCAATGATGAATGTTTAATAAAAAACCAAGAAGACAACTGCCTGGGTGGCGAGAATTACTAATACCTGTTTATTAAGTTTCTGTCAACAATTGCTGTGCAATTTGTTATGTTATTAACCACAGTGACAGCAATCCAAAAGACTAATCACGCTTTCTGGGAGCTAGTTGATCCTTCGCAGGTGAATGAGGTAAGTTCGCGCACCTTCGTCCAGGGAACATCAGTGATCGCGGCAGTGCAGACATCCTTGATTCTCTGAAAATAAGGAGGATGACGTAAGGAACTTCGTCAACGCAGGAAAAAAATGGTGGGGATGTCAGTTGCATTGCAAACAGACCGCTGTGAAATGAATGACCATCATCTTCCTGAGTATGACTGGGCATTTTCTTTTGTCAGGGCGAGGAAAGAGATTTATGGTAATTATTGGTGATTGTCAGCGCACATGATGGTTGATATGAGTTGCCAGCGAAGAGACCACTCTGTGATGTTAGGGGTCTCCCGGAAATGATATGTGACCTTAAGTGGGAGCCTCCGAAGGCTGTGCTACTGTCATTTCAGAGCACGCTTGTATGACAGTCAGTAGCCAAGCTACGGCGCAACGTATGATTACGTAGCACTTGAAAAAACTAATCTGCGCTCTGCTGTAATGATTTTATTACGTAAAAGTTGCTGGTTAAGTACTGATGCGATCACGTTGCTTCTGTGAATCAATTTACCCTATAAGCATTAGAGCACGTTAGACTGTATTATCTACGAATGTTAGAGCAACAGACGCAAAAATTGAGCTACGAAGGCCCTGAAAAACACTGCCTGATTGTAACAGTCACGTGTGATTTGAGCGAGCAATCGTTATCACAGTTAATTGAATTTATTATTTAAGCGCAGTGACAAACTTTTGATGTGGTTCATATAATTTACCAAGAAGTAGAGCGTCAAACGAAAAATAAAATGAAGAATTCTTTTCTTCATGTTCGGAATCTCATTGACTGCTCCTTATCTCAGGCACCTATAACTTTTATGTTTGTCAGGAAATCTTTTTTCTTCGAACCGGGGCATTGAGGAACACGAAGAGTTGTAAAACTAGGATGAAGACAAACTTTTACACAATATACAGCCCATCTAGGCATATCTTTGTCGTATACACAGCTCAAACACGTCCATCCTTGTGCGATAGAGGAAATTGATGGTCTGCTGACCCAAATAAATGGTTATTCTTGCCTTTACTCGGTATATATCATAGTATTCTCTATGTGAAACTGGGTTGATGTTAATAATGTTTGAATGAAGTGTATTTCTGAGTCCCTATTAGTTTGGATGATTTTGTGTTGAAACGGAAGGGTTGAATGCAGTCTACCGACAGCATCGCAGCCTAAAATTCAGTAAAGAAGTGTGTCCACCTTATTTTTTTCTTCTCAATATGCTTGTGACAATGCTCATGGTGTGCACTTTTGGAAAAAGTCTGTGTGTTCAATTACTGGGCGGAAAACATTTACTTGGTACTTGTATTCAGTAACAAACGATAAGTCATGACAGCTGATGCTGTATACAAATAGTGATAAATTCTTACTGCGTGCTGTCATCGTTGAAACTGTTCTTTTAGGTTTAGGTTCGTCTGCCATTCTAAGCACCATGTAGCTATTCATGGTACACTTCCTTTGTGCCACACGACAAGTTTTACATGATAAAGTGGCACAGTATACCCGGGATGCCCAGTGTTACAGTTGGCCAATTTGCAATCTGACAAGTTTAGATTGACAACCGAACATAAGCGGGTAAGTACAGCCCTCTTCTTTACAAAACATATAAGCACAGCTCGTGTATCATTGTCTGCTGCAGTTGATCATGATGGGTTTGGCCAAAACAATTAGCCTCGTAACTGTTGCCAAACTTGGTGATCAATGTAGTTGATGTGGCTGTATCAACATGAACGTAGAAACCACTCACTACGCAGAGGGGTAATCGCCATGAGTGATTTAATGTGTGCCGGGCACCGGCCTAGTGTAACTAGAACATTCACTGGGTTAACATTTGAAGCGCCTCAGACTGGCTGGCCGATGGTAGAGGGCCTATCCCGAGCCCGCTGGGTGTGGTTGTTGCCTCATCAGCAAAAAAAAAAAAAAAAACTATAACTATCTTCGATATACCTCTGCCTCAATCCACTTAGGCCCCAAATTTAAAAAGAGGAAAAAAAAAGAAAAAGAAAGTTGCTGGCGTCTGAATTGTGCTTTTGCTGATGGTGTGCTAGACCACCATTTCTAATTTAGTCCACACTGGTGAACAATAAACGACTGAGTAATAAGGGTTCATTAAAGGTCGAGCGAAAGATAGGCAACAGCTTGCGCTGGCAAACAAATGCCCTCATCGCCAAGAAACTGCAAATGTGCTCTCACACACGATTGCATGCGCGAGTGGTGGTTGCTGCGACAGGAAAAACAAACCGTGAGTGAAAAAAATAGACTTGACAAATATAGTCCAGAAAAAAACTCATTGTATCTTGAAAGCGTGCCAGCACTTGTTTGCCCTGCTTGAAAGGTTCAAAATATCCTTACGTTTTTCACAGAGAAAAAATACCGGGAAGTTACGACACCTACCATTCGCAACATGTTTGCGCCGTCGCATAATATCCTATTTGACCCCGAACATATCAACACATTTAAACACGCCTCACATGCTCATTTCCTTATTATACCTCTCCATTTGAGAAAAGATTCACTTCACCAGAACGAAAGCAAGACCGACAGCAGCTGTGACCATACGAATACTTTGCATAGAAACGTGGAGCTTCGCAGGCTCCACTGTGTTTCCAGATCAGGGACGGCACTGCCCACTAGGCAATTTGGTGGCACCCACATTAAAAAGGTATATAGTACGACACTTATTCTAGTCTATAAAACAAAGAAAGAAAAACAATAAACACCAAAGGATATTCTTGTTGAAATATTAATATTATTCACCGATTACATTAACAACCACCGTTGTAAGCACCGATAACAATTTGTGCAAGAAGAATGAGCTATATATTTACGAGAACCTGCACACTCACTGCTGTACATAACGTACGTTCACTAAAGAAAATCACCTCCAAGGCTAATTAAGAGCCTAATCTTGGGTAATACACATTGTACTGGTTAGCAGTTGTTGAACTTGGAGAAATAATCAATTTTTTCCACTTGGTATGCATCTCTTGTAGACATTTATAGACATTTTCTATGTGCTCAGCTTTCGCCTTCGCACATTGTTTTGCAGGCGTACTCCTAAGAAACAATGGATATTTGGGGATCTTTCACAGCGTAAGTCAGGTATTGAGGCCATACTGCATCTGTCACTTTCGAAGTCACTGCAAATGGCAGCTCCCTTTTCGGTCGTGATGCTATAAATGCATTGGCTATAACTATTCCCTTTGCTTCTGTCACTTGTGCTTAAGTCGACGGGCAAGCTCATCTTTCGGACAACGCGCCCAGTGAGTTACAGCAACTGTTTAAGAGTGAGCTGGGTTGTGTGCGTTGATTCTTGCATAAAGTAGAGCGTCAACCTGATGTGTGTTTGGTTCGTGCCAAGCTTTGATCCTTTCTTTTCTGCTTGGTGAGCAAGTTTCCGCAGAACGGTCTCGTCTTCAAGCCGGTGGAATCAGTGTGCCTGTCTCCGCTTCCAACTGGGGTGTCTCTACTCGTCATTGTAGAGAAAAATGATGGTTCACTGCGTCTGCGCGTCGACTTACGTGAAACAAACAAGGCAATCGTCATCGACGGGTTCCCGCTGCCACACATCGAAGAGCTGCTGCAACAGCTGTCCGGGGAAGTATGCCTTTCTAAGTTGGAACTTGCGTCCGCTTATCATCGAATGAAACTTGGTGAGTGCAGTACTTACTTGACGACATTTCTTTTGCGCAATGGGCTGCATCGTTTTCGCCGCCTGTGCTTTCGGCTCGCGTCTGCCTCTGCTGTGTTTAGAAAAATGATGTCTATCATATGTATTGATTTTAAAGGTGCTTTGATCTACTTGGAAGACATATTTGTGTAGGGTCGAAATAATGAAGAAGACGATGCAAACTTTCATGCAGTTCTTTCCCGCATCAGCAAATGTATAACAAGTGAATTCTTGCTTTGAGTGATTCGCAATTTTAGAATAACCAGATCAGTTCCCGCGGCTTAACTACTGTTGAGTCAAAAACTCAGGCCATTGTGAATGCACCACGTCCTACTAGTGCCAAATCGTTGCAACCATCTCTTGCTCATGTTGGTTACTATGCTGTTTGTGTCTCATTACGCAAATGTGGTTGAACCACTGCGCATACTACATCAACAGGGACAGCTTTTTACCTGGTCAGCGGAAGCTGAAGAGAACTTTATTACCATCAAGCCATTATTAGCTTCGAAGCCAGTTGTCAGTCTCTTCACTGAGAAGCTGCATATTGTCATCACAATGAATGTGTCCGGCGTTGAACAGGAGCAGTGTTTCAACAACAGTCAGGTGATGTGCTGATCACTATTGCATTTGCTTTTCGCACATGGTCCCCTGCCGAGCACAGGTATTCCACGGGAGAGTGTGAAGCTCTCGCATGTCTTTTTGCTTGTGACAAATGGCATGTTTATTTGTAGGGTCGTGATTTCACCATGCGCACACATCATCAAGCTCTTGTCGCACTTCTTTCTTCAGGCACCGAAAGCCGCTGTCCCCTTCGCAATTCAAGGTGGGGTTCTAAACTCATGTACTACAACTTCAGTGTGCGGTATTGTAGCTGTGCCATTAATCTAATTGTTGATGCCATGTCACGTCTCCCTTTCCACCTACCAGTTACTGAACGGTGTTAGGAAGAAACCGTTTCCTTGCTTACTTCTTGCAATAAGAATGCTGAACTTCAGGCTACCACTGCTACTGATTCGATTGCCTGAAGTTTTTACATGTATACATAAATGATGGCGTTCCCAAAGTGCACTTGTAGCGGTGTTTTTGCCTTGTTTCAGTGTCCGATAGAACCTGTCTTGTGTCAAGCACACTCTTTTTTGTGATAAGTGGGTGATTCCCACGGCTTATTTTCGGCAAAAGCTCAATCAGCTCGCCCAGAAATCGTGGCCAAGCACTGTTCGCACTAAACGGAACCTTCGTAAGAGGTACTAGTGGCCCGCCTTAGACAAGCACGTAAAACAGGCATTTTACAACTGCCACAGTTGTCAGGCGGCTGACAAGTCGGCCGAACCTTGATTTTCCTTCTTGCAACCTGTTTTGTGGCCTGATCAGCCTTGGCAAAAGCTTGG